TTCTTGAACTTGAGCAAATTTTCCTTATTGATGTGTGTGTATAAAAATGTTGGAAAAAGCACCTAAAGTTGCTGATATGGCCAGAGGAGAACAAATTTTTCATGAATGTGTGTGAGTCCCGCAGGTCAAGATGACAGACCACCTCTGGATTCCAGCTCACAGTGCCAGACCCTGCGTCTTCGTTGGTTTCCACCAAAACCTCACACGGTAAATTCTATCATCCGTCCCATATTTACAAATAAATAGGCAGATGAGTCCTAGAGGGTATACAACCTGCCTCAAAGCCAGGAGGTGGTACAGCCAGAGCTTGAGTCCAGGTCCACCGGAGCTGAGACCTTGACCCAGCGTGTCCCCAGCAACAACAGCGAATGTCCGTCTAGCCCTCGCCCTAAGCCAGGCCGAATGCTGAGCACCGAACCTATTGTATCTCTTCAGGTATGTATGGCACGTTATTTGCAAACACTATTATTGCTACCATCCTTTTACTGATGATGACACTAAAGGTTAGAAACGTTAAAACCCATCTTTTTAAAGGCAAAGTCTAAAAGCACACTTATTTGGCATGAAATATCTACACTGGTCCTCCACACTCTGGCATTTGGGAATATCATGCGGGGCAGAAATGTGGGTGTCTTGCTCCCATTTGCAAGAGTCAAAAAAAAAAATATTTGAATTGCCAAGGGAAAGCCATCCGTGCCATAAACAACAAATAGCCCTTCATCCTTCGATCAGTGAATGCTATACCTAAATAAAATAATTACTGCTTTCATAAAAGGTCTCTGTTTGCCACTGACAAAAAACTAAGCCAGTAAACTCTGCAATTGCCTTTAAATAACCAAGGAGAGAGATCAAAATAAAAATAAACCTTGACCAGATTTATAGGATCACCTTGATTAGGTCTTGTTTTTCCCTTCAAATAAACAATACCTGCAAAAAATGAAAGGCGAATGTTGAGACCAGATATCTTGTAACAGATGGGTTTTCCCTGACATACAGTATGGGAAAATGCCGAAAAAATAATGTTGGCCCATCATTTGTGAGGCTCACCAGCGAAGTATAGCCCAGAACAACAACAACAACAAAAAAAGAGGTAGGGGATTTTTCAGGATGTAGAACAGTGTAACCACTCAGATTTGAACAAATTGTCATTTTTCAAGTGTACTTCTCTCTTTTTTTAATTGATTTTTAGAGAGAGAAGGGAAGAAAGAGAGAAGGGGAAGAGAAAAACATCAATTTGTTCTTCCACTTATTTATCTGTTCATTAGATGCTTCTTGTATGGGCCCCGACCAGGGATCAAACCCACAACCTTGGCGCATCAGGATGATGCTCCAACCAACTGTGCTACTCAGCCCAGGCTTAAGTATACTTTTTGAAGTTCTGTTATATTGCGATCTTTTGTTGATTCTCCACACAACTGTTTCATTGCTTCAACCGGTAACAATTTTTTTATTTGAAAATTCTAATGCTAAAATCAAATGGTAGCCATTCAGATACCATTCTGGCGCTGGCTCATGAGAAGGCGTATCGGATAAGAATGTAATTATGTGCAACACGATATAATTGGAATCGTCCGCCCACTACACCATCTCTCCCCTTTAGTGCCCCACATCATTAGCAGTAACGGTGATCGATAAAACTAAGGATTATTATTTTTAAAAGTGTGAAAGTCTCGTTCTTCTATAAACCCCCCTTTTAATAAAATCCTCATTTCCCTCAGGCAACCCTTTATCAAAGATGCACTGGGCTAGCTGAATAAAAATACCGGTTAAAGGAATGAAGGTTCCCATCAAAGCTGTTGAAATCTGATTTCATCTCAGATTCTAGAACTAATGTTGTTTTTTGTTTAAATAGATTTTGTCTGTCAATTTCCAGACCTGCTGCGCCATCGGCCTGTATGGACCGCTGCGGTCAACGTGGGGGTTATAGCAGCAAATTGCATTACGGACTGGTAATTGAATTGAACAGGTTTACATTTGAATAGATTTACTACATCATGATCTCTGACATACTGCAAGGGACCGAAATCCCTCTCCATCCATAAAGATACATTTAAGACGGTATCATTCTCTCCAGGCTGAGAAGGCAGGTCTTGAGCCAAGGAGATGGCCACACATAATTGTGCATTTATATGCAGGGCGGAATGCTGTGTTTCACAGCATTCTTTTTAAGTACAAAAGAAAAAGGACATCCCATATTTACTCATAACCATTCCATCCTTTCTCTTTGGGGGAAGGGGCTTTGAGAACTGGTATGTGCCCATCAAAGTGGGCATAGGGGTAAAGGAAAATAAATCATGACATATCAGCCACAGCAGGAATTTCCTTGAAAACAGCCCCTCCAAAGGCTTTGATAACAGTATCTGAAGAGGAGTGAACTTTAGATAAGCACCAGGTCCATCAAATTTCACCAATGGTGTTTAATTAAACACAGTCCCCAGCACTTTGGTCACTCTAAATACCCTCCAAGACTGCTTCTGCTTGAAAGCCGCAACGGGGAAGTTTACTTGGGCGGGGGGGAATCTCTTCTACGTCCTCCTTAAGCCTGGAAGGGCACACAGTTGAGTAAATTATCATAGTAAAATCGAATTTATCAAAAAAAGTTTCTACCTACCAGGAAATGGAGACCTTTCCCAATGTACTCCAGTTTTTGAAAATAAACTCTCAATCTAGAACATGCCAGTTCAAAACTTGTTGATTCATATATTACTTTCATAACATTTTTTAAAGTATTGATTTGCTTTTTAAAAATAAGGATTTCTCAACTCTCAACTATTAATGAAGCCTTTTTAAATGAGCATAATTTTGGTTTGAGTCGCTGTAGCTCAATTAAGTGGCACCAAAAAACCCCTGAAAATTAAGCATCAATCATCATATGTGGAAATATGTTTTGTTCCTTACTCTGTTGTTGGTTTTAAGGCAATGACTAAGATAATGTTTTTCACCTCAAAAATGTAAGCTACCACCACTGTCCTATCTAAAAGGAAAATTCTTTGCCCTGTGGGCGGGGTTGTTGGGTTTTCAGTCACATGTTCCCCCTCGCAGAAGTGACCTTTCTGCATTTTCATACGAGCTTTCTCCAGCCAGAGTGACTGGGTCTGTCTCTCCCACTGCGGCGTCACTGGGGCCTAGAACAGGGCCTGGCGCGTGGGAAATGCTTAATAAATATTTAGCAAAGAGACAGTAAATGTAAAACATTAACCGTGCAAAGGCTATACAGTGCAAAGGAAGGAGCGCACACTTCCCACCTTCATTTGTATTCACTTGTGCAACACGGCTACCTGACCTCATCTCTGTGCCGCCGTAGTGCCTGTCACCTGGTGCCCTTCCTTCTCCTTTCTCGCTCTCTAGATAAATAATTCATATTAAAATATACATTTTAATAAAATGTGTAACTTAATGTGAATGTATCTTTATACAAGATATACTTAGGTATAAATTAAATGATACTAATAGGTAATTTGTTAATAGGTAGTTTGTTTGTTTTTACATGGTGATATATTCTGGCCATCTTTGCTTTAATTATAAAGTCAGACACTTGTTTTTTTTTACAGTTTTTTTTCCCCAGTTGGAGACAGGAAGAACGCAAGAGTTTCTTCTGTTCCTGTCAAGGAAGGAGTTAGTGCTCAGTGGACGAGAGGCAGAAAAACAGAACACGAATCCCACATGCCCAAGTATCATCTGACCCACTCTCTGTCCCATCACAAGGCTCACAGTGAGAATCCTGGAGTAAGACCCGGCCAGGGAAAGGCAGGAGACTGTTCATCGCACCTAACTGAAGCTCTGGTTTGTTCTTGGGGAACAAACGTGGATCTTTCAGGATTTGGAAGTTAAAAAACCAGCAATCTCCGGCAATAACAAAATACCCAAATTCACACAGAGCCAACCCCGGGAACGAGGAATACTCTCTGACTTAACAGAAGCCGTACATTAAAATATTCAATTTACCTCATTTGCTTTCCAACTTCAATGACCACATTTTCATTTTGTTCCTCCATAAAACTGTCATATTTATTTTAAATTCTGGCAAACTTTCTGAAGGGATAGAAATAGTAAAACCTACATGCAGTGTAAAAGTGCACATTTATAATAGCATGCACATGTACAAAGATACCGTCAAAAAAAAAAAAAAAAAGAAAGAAAGAAAAAGCTAAATCAAGGGCTTCCAAAGAAAAGAATGATTTTTCTCTAAGCTAAAATATTAGTTTCACTGGACATGCTGAGATGTACAAATATTCAAGAACTTTGATAAGGGTGGTAGTTGAATGAATTCTAAAATCTGACTCTTTGGTGTCAGTTTCTGGCTGTGTGAGCTCATTCAATCTGTTCATCACAGACACACACTCATGGTTATTACTTTATGTTTGTCGTTGTTGTTAACTCCAACTGAGAGCAACAGTTTTAATGTCATGATTACAAGCCCTTTATAATAGGAAATACATCCCAAAGATAAGATTAGAAGAGAATAAGGAATGCTTTAAATCTAAGATTAATCAGGAAAAAGAAAATGGTAACTATATGAAGCAACAGAAATGTTAATTAGCCACACTGTAGAAATAATTTTACAAAACACATGTATATCAAAACATTGACATACGTACATTAAATATATACTTTGTCAACTATACCTCAATCAAGATGGGGAAAATCCCTCTGTGAACCTGCTAATGAGAAGGAACGCCGGAGGACAGTAACAAGGGCCTCCTGGTTGGTCTGCATCCCCTGCCTTTTGGAAACTGAAAGCATGAGAACCAGAACTCCCCAAACCTACCTGGTGGGTTGAGCCGCACATCAGACATGTCCTACCTTGTCCCTTCCTGTCGACGTCAGCAGTTGGCAAGGAAGTATCAGAAAGGTCAGATCAAGAGGGAGCATTCTGCCCTCAGACGCGGGGGCCTGACTGTGACCCAGCTTTCCCTGGTCTGCCTAACCTGCTGCAGCTCCCTGCGCGCGCCCCCACCCCGTCCCCACCCGTGAGCAGGGGCTGCCGGCATGGGCCTTACCTTCCTTCAGCATGCCCACTTTTAAACACTTCATGAAGCGGCAGGCTTGGCAGGATTTACGTCGGCGCTTCGTGATTTCACATTCATTCGTGGCCGGGCAGCTGTATTCTATGTTCCCTGAAACACAGTGCGGGCAGAAAAGGATGTGTTAGGTACGCAGGACCCAGGAAATATTAGCTTCGCGAACACAGTGCCAACTCTGTGATTCCTGCCCCCTTCCCTCAAAAAAAAAAAAAAAAAAAAAAAAAAGGGCACATGGGCTTCCTGAGGACGTCTCCGGTGTCAGGAGGCTGGATGCTCCACCACAGCCCCGCGAGGCACTGAAGGGTGCAAAGACAGCGGGTGAGGCTCTACACGAATTTTCCGTTTACAATTAGCCTGTAAATCAGGATGCTTAGTGCCCCCAGGCAAAGGTCCAGTCTTCCAGGACCTTAAGATCCCAAAGACATCTCAAAGCAGATTATTTCCACAAAACCTCAAGCACCAAAGCTGCCTTCCAGCACCAGAAGCAGCCTGGGCTCCTCTTGCCGACCACTGCCGGGTGCACCAGGCTTCTTCTCTCTCTGACCGATGATCGGCAGGCTACGGGCACCGCGGGAAGCTCTCACAGGGCAGTGGCCGAGGTTACCTGCTTCTTGCTGTGCAACTCCACCCGGCCTTACAAAGCAACGTAACACTCAGGAAGTGCTTGCTATTGGTAAATTGTGGTCATAGCTGTTATCATCATCATCATCATCATCGTCATCATGCTTGTTATACCACTTGCATAATGAGATCCAAACACTCCAACTCCATGAAAGCGTTATAACTAAGAATGAACTGCTCTGAAATTGTATTTCTACTATTAGAGTTTACATCGCTTGCAGTAGTACCTACACGGCTGAAATGATATGTAGCCAGAAGAAGATGCAAACTTCAACTTGGTTTTTCTTTTCAGTTAGTCACAATGACAGCACGTGGTATGTGCCCTCAGTTGGCCTAGAACTTTGTAAACAACCTGCCTTTAAACCAAAGCCTCTTGGCCCTGGCTGGGTAGCTCAGTTGGTTAGAGCACCATCTCGCTACGCCAATGTTGGGGGTTCTATCTCAGGTCAGGGCACATACAAGGAGCAACCAATGAATGCATTTAAGTGGAACAACAAATCTCTTTCTCTCTCAAATCAATAAATAAAATTTTTAAAGAAGAAGCCTCTCTTTCCATCAGCTCCATCACATGGCGCTGGAAGGTCTTCCCTTCCTTCCTAACCCTTTCCCCTTGTGATTAAGTGCATTAGTATCTTAATGAAAATGCATCCTGTTTATTGCCCTCTTGGGAAGGGGGAGGTCATCACACCAAATGCATAAATTGTCATCAGAGACAGTCCAAGCATAATTGCAATTTTGCTGTTCCTCGTCTGCACTACCCAAGGTCCGTCCAAGTCCCCTGAAATCTGTGCAGATTCTAGTAATTAGCATAGAGTCTGCCTGGGACCACAGCATTGATGAAATATTTCAGAGTTAATCACACTTTGTAAACACTGATTTATATTGACTACCTTTCTCCAGACTGATGTCTCCTCAGTAAATATCACATTAGTGGATTGCAGGATTGTACAGACTCACATCCTCAGCCACTGCTAATTCAACAGGAAGTAACACCGAACCACTTATAACCACTGAAAATTGGTTCCGTAAGCATGACTTAAACAAAAGGGCGGGGGGCGGGGGAGGCTGCGCATTCTCACTGGAGATAAGCCCATCCAAACAGTTGGACTAAATTAGCATTCTAATTCAGGGCATCTACACTAATAAAAGCAACTATCTTTTTTAACATAAGAGTTAAATAATAAGAGTAGTATTAATTGCACCAACAGAAGCACACCCCAGCACTTCCTTCAGAGATGCCGCCCATGCTATGTTCACAGAAAACCAAGGATAAATCAAAGGGACCAGCCTGGCTGGGTCATGCCTGAGAGTAAACAGATTTCGAATATGAACTTCAGATAAACCATTTTTCCACTGCAGAATTTAACCATCACTGGAAATTTTTTTGGCATCAAGAGAGCGTTGTTAGTCATTTCCTAGGGGTTAATTAGTATTCTACTACCAGAACCTTCCAGCTACATGGCCCTCCATAAACTTACTTAAAAAGAAACCCAGGTCTTTGCTTTCTTAGGAAGAGCTGAACAATGACTAGTTAGAAAGAAAAAAAAAAATGTTTTCCAGCCCTGGCTGGTGTGGCTCAGTGGACTGAGTGCTGGCCTGTGAACCGAAGGGTGGCGGGTTCGATTTCCCGGTCAGGGCACAGGCCTGGGGTGCGGACCAGATCCCCAGGAGGTGGCTCGCAAGAGGCAACCAGCCGCACATTGATGTTTCTTTCCCTTTCTTTTTCCCTCCCTTCCCCTCTCTAAAAACAAATAAATAAAATCTTTTTTTTTATTTAAAAAAATTTTAAAAATTTTTACCTAACCATTTAAAACCATTTAAAAAAATGTTTTCCTAACCACATTTCTTCCCTTTACTGTGTCTGAAAAAGGATGCAGGTCAACCGGCCCCTTTCCAGTATGGAGGTGCGACCAGTAGTCCCACACTTTGAACCCAGTGCTGGAAACTTCTACTGGGATGATCCACCATCCCCTCCTCTCCCCCTATCCTTCAAATAACCATCCTTCCTTTCAAAGTAGTGCCTCTTCCCCTCTGAAAAGTATACCCTCATCCTTCACAATAGCATGCTTCCGACAGGAACCTAAACCAGCCCGCGGGAGCTCACACCTGGGCTAAGGCAGAGATCCCCAAGCTGGGATGTTGCCTCCACTCATCCCGTCTGATCCCTGCTGCATGCCACTGTCCTATCCTGCTTCCTGTGGCCGCTTTGATCACTCACCGCCCTGTTTTATAAAAGAATCAATAGGTTCCTATGCCCTCCTAGATTTAATACATAATGAGACAAGCTAACAAAGTCCCCGCCCATCAACTGCTTGCTTCCTGTCCCAGAGATACAACGATGATGACCTTACATGGGCCTTCTGATGCAGCCAATGCGATGTCCTGTTCGCTGTGTCCTTCAGGCTTCCCTGAGCATGATCTATCTTGGCCCCTCTTCTTAAAATTACTTCCGTCTCAGTGTTCAACTGAGAGTCCAGTCAAACCTTGCATGAAAATGGCCTGGCCCATCCCAGCAGAAAATGAGTTCGTGGCTCTCCTGTCTTTTCAGGCACTGTCATGCTGCCCAGACACGCCTTGTTCTGGCAACGCCTTTTCACGTGCGTGCCCCCCATTGGATGGTAAGAGCCTTGAGGAAGAACCATTTCTGAGGCAGTACAGAAATCTTCCGCCAGAAAGTAGTGCAGGAGTCAAGTGATACCCTTAGGATGAACTTAATGCCATCTTGCTATCTCAGGGTCATTCCTGCGGACGTCAATTACAGCGCTGGCATGCGGTAATCGCCATCCGCAAGAGCAAGGGAACTGGACTGGAAAGCCAAGGAGAAGTCGGGCTAAGGACACTGGGAAAATCACCCTCCCAATCCAAAAGAGGAGAAGGAAATTTAGTTAATTCTCAAAACCGTGAAAAGTACCTTTGACAACAATGGAAGTGCATGGCAAAACAGAGAGAGACTATCAAGAAAAAAACAGTAAAATACAAAGATTTCAGGGAAGCCAAGGTGCAAACGGAAAACAAAACAAAACAAAAAAAATGCTGTAAGAGGTTTTAAAGGAAATAAAAGTGCATCCTGATATGAATAGGGTAAGAATAAAGGAAAATATAAGATACAGATAGATGAGTTATTTCATTTTATCTAGTTATAACGCTTGTTTTCTTTTTTCTTTTTTTTACAAAATAGGTACTCTCAGAATTGTAGCCACATTGGAGAATATAGTTAGAAGTGATTCAACAATAGCAGCTAAATCTCTGAATGACTCTCATCTATGAATGATTGCATAAAGATTTTAAAATTTCTTAATAAAACAGAATTGTCAAATCGCCACATGAGACTTAGGTCACACACAAAGAACCATTCCAGTTTCTTCTCTTACCATTGCATTCCATACTTCTTCAATGACAAAGAGAAATATAAAGGCAGGGGAATTTCTAATAGTGCCTTAGAATGAATTGTTGAAGGAAAAACTCTGTCTTATTCATCGCTGAACCCTCAGTCCTCTTCAATGAGCCTGGAATTTGGTGTCATGCACTGGGATGGGACAGACAGACAGACGTGGCTCCTGCTCTTGGGGAGTCCATAGACTTACAGAGACAAGACACGTCAACAAGTAACAATGCAACTGAATGGTTCGAAGGCTCTGGATTCAGAACAACTACACACGCTCACACACACGCATGTCCACAACTGCAGAGCTGATGCTCCGGAAAGTCTGAGTTCTTCATACAGGCACAAAAGCTTGAAATGTGGTGTAAAAAATGTATAAATAACTATATTTAGGTAAAGGCATCTTCCCACTGCCATGGGAAACACACCATTGTTGTTAAGACTTTCCCTGTGAATAGATGGAAAACATAGTGTTCCTGAGCATGTTCATAAATCACACATTTGCAGCTTAAGTGTATAGAGGTTGTTTACGATGAAATCAGGTATCCTTCAGCCAAATGTCCTGTACCAATAAATTTGTTTCGACATACATGCATACATGGATGATAACCTGATTTCACTAAGTAACACTGGTTTACATCTGGAACAACAAACCAACTCCCTTCTAACACACTCAGCTGCTGGAGGAAAACCTCTCTCTCTCTCATTTCTGAGCCCTCCCGTTGAGGTGTTTAGTTCATTGTTACTGCTATGAGCACCCAGCCAACAAAGTCTTTGATCCATGTGAGAGTCCACGGAGATGCTGCCCTTGAAAGAACCTTCCCTGGTGCTTTTACTGCTCAATAAAGACAGCACTCATGCGAGAGAAAAAAAAAAAAAGTGCTGACCCCAACCAGGGCACCAATGTTCCAACTATTTTGGTAATGGTTCAAAGACAGGACTCCCAGCAGAACTTATGATCTCGACGGGGCACTTGTTTTCTTCGATTCATGAAAGCGGAAGCTGCACTAGCGCATTTCCAATGACAATGGTGGGCACCCGGAACGTCCCCAGTAGACCAGCGCCCAGATGAGGCCGAAGTTACTGCACA